GGCTATGTAACATTGTCTTTCTTCGGCCGCGGCCAAAAGAATATCATCCATGTAGTGGATAATGTAAAGATCAGGAAACTTACGTCTGAGGGGATCTAAACAGGCAGCTACATAAATCTGGCATATAGTTGGACTATTAGCCATCCCTTGGGGAGCACCACCCATTGGAAGCGAAGGGCAGGCTCCCTAAAGTTAATCGCAGGAAGGCTAAATGCAAACCGAGGACTATCTTGAGAATGCAAGGGAATAGAAAAGAAGCAATCCTTCAAATCAATGACAATCAAATGCCAGTCTTTAGGAATGGCCACAGGCACGGGCAAGCCAGGCTGCAGAGCCCCCATAGGCTGCATGGTCGCATTCACGGCCCTCAAGTCTTGTAGTAACCTCCATTTCCCTGAAGATTTTTTTATTACAAATATAGGGGTATTCCAAGGGGACGTGGAAGGAACCAAATGACCTGCCTCCAATTGTTCTTGAACTAGCTGGTGAGCCGCCCTTAGTTTCTCCGCTGGTAAGGGCCACTGTTCCACCCATACCGGATCATCTGATAGCCATGTGATGGGTATGGGGGCTGGCGGCGCAACAGTGACCCTCATCAAAAATGGCCAAAACCCTTCCTATCCCCTGGGGCCCTGGTCTCCAAAGGGAGGGATGCCACAGGGCAAACCTCTCCCTGTTCTAGTTTACCTAGTTCCCTCCCCGGGCTCCAGCCCCTCCCTTGCATCATCTGGGGGCCCCTGCTTTTGGACTTGGGTGCCTGAGTGGTGAGGACCACTCCCATTTCTTGCATGAGGTCCCGTCCCCAGAGGTTAATAGGGAGGCCAGGCAAAACATATGGCTGGAAAAGCCCTGTGTGGCCCTCAGAGTCTTGCCACTTTAAGATTCTGAGGCTTTTTTGGGGCACAGCCTGTCCTATTCCCTGGAGGGTCACTGTCCCTTCCTCTTTCGGCCAGGCGGGGGGCCAGAATTTATCTGAGAGGACAGAGAAATCTGCCCCAGAATCTAAGACGCCCCTAAAGGACTTGCCTTCTATCTTTAATGTAAGCTGGGGCGGTTCTCCATAGTGGCTACCCAAAATGCTGCCGGGCCGGTACTTCCAAAACCTTGGTTGCCCCTTTTCTCTTTAATTTTTCTAGCCTCACAAGGAGCTGTAGGGAGAAGGAGTATCTGAGCAATCCGTTCTCCTGCAGGGATGGCAACAACCCCACTGCCCACTGATGTCATTATTTTAATCTCCCCTCACTATCCTGGTCTATAACACCGGGGTGTACCTGGATGCCTCGAAGAATAGTACTGGACCGTCCCAAGAGTAGTCCAACCGTGCCTGGGGGCAATGGCCCATGCACCCCAGTAGGGAGGGCCTGGATCCCCATTTCCGGTGTTAGGATTGCCCGGGCAGAGGGAGCGAGGTCCAGTCCTGCACTCCCCGAGGTGGCTCTAAGGAGGTCTGAGATATGAAGGGGTTGCTCTGGGGGAGAAAATGAGTCCTGCCACTGCCCAGAGCAGGGGTCATTGCCCCGTACACATTGGTTTTGGGGCCCTGGGGCGGGGCCCTCCTCCCGTTTCCCTGATTATTATTAGCAGAAAGGAAATTTCCCTCCCTGTCAGTTTTAGAGTAGCAGTTATTGGCCCAATGATATCCCCTTCGACAACGGGGCATAAACCAGGTCTCTTGAGACCCGTAGTACTATTTTGAGGGCACTCTCTACGGAAGTGTCCCTCCCTACCGCAGCTAAAACATGTTTTTCTCCCTCCCAGAGTAGGTCTTTCTTTCCCCACTTGGGGCCGAATAGCAGCAGCTAACACTTGGCCCTGGATGAAGTTCCCATCAATGTCCCTACAGATCCGGATATAGTCATTTAGACTTTTATTGCGATAGGGGCGAAGGGCTTCCTTACAATATTTATTTGCATTTTCAAATGCCATCTGCTTTATGACTGGCATCGCAGGCCCAATGCCCCCAAATATTCTTTCTGCTACCTGACTGAGACGGTCTACGAAGTCTTGAAAAGGTTCGGAAGGTCCTTGAAGGACTTTGGACAGATGATCTCCTCCTTCCTTGGAAGGCAATGCTTTCCAAGCCCCTTGGGCCGCTGCTGCCACTTGGGCATAGACTGCGATGTCATATTGAATTTGCTGCTGAATGGTGGCATATTGACCACTTCCGGTAAGCATCTCCACATTTCTCTGGGGCTGTCCGGCCTGTGCATTCCTTTGGGCTGTCTGGCTGCATCTTTCCTGAAACTCACCTCTCCAAATCAAATAATCTCCCCCCGACAGAGCTGCTCTGCAAAGCTGCTGCCAATCGCCAGGTGTCAAATTAAGAGACGCAAAAGATTCCATTAAGGAAAGTGTAAAGGGAGCCTGTGCTCCATAATTTAAAGTTGCCTCTTTCAGTTGTTTTATATCTTTGAAACTTAAAGGGTCATGGCGCCGAATGACCTGTCGAGAATTGTTCGGGTCTGGAACTTCCATTACTGGGGCCACCACCGGGCAGCATTGGACCCCTCCTCTGGGTCTTCCCTCCAGGTCCAAGAAGGACTGGGTTATCTCATAGGAGGAGTCCCTTTTTTCAGAGTATGGGGAAGGGTTTCTCTCTCTGTCCTGTCTTTCCTTAATTAGAATCTTTTTTAGTTCTTTTTAAGGGCCGCGATCTCAGCAAGTAACCGTTCCTTTTCAGACTGTGACGAGTCTGAGTCTGAGCTACTTCCATTTTCTAGGTCTGATAGAGAAGGATATAACCGATTCTGACCGGAGTCCTTCTTTTGGGTCGCGCCCGGAGATGTCTACCCGTTTTTTTGTTGTTACTAAGAGACTCCTCCTCATCCTCACTAACAATGGAGCCTCTAGTTTCAATCACGGTCTCTTCATCATCACTCTCTGCCCCTGAACTCAAGGAGGCTTGAGTCTCAGTCTCTTGTAACTCTAAAAAGCCTCTTTTGTGTCCTGAACTACCTGGCGGTGACGAACCTTATCTGTCAAAAGTGCTCCCCTCACTAATCTCCATAAGGAGAATGTCGTAGGGGGCAAGGACTCAGATCCCTCTTTTCGTAAAAGTCTATGAAGATCACGGTGAACCTCCTCCCAATCTGGAATATTTAAGCTTCCCCCAGTAATGAACCATGGACTGGCTCGTTCGATCGATTTTAGGAAGCCTTCTAGGGTTTTAGACTTGACTGCAGTCCCATGTTCTTTAAGTAACTTTTTTAGTTGATACTGCAATGATTCTAGCTTCCCGGAACTATTCCCCATAGTTTCTTAACCCCGTCCACTTACCTCGCTTTCACGATCTCAGTGGGACCTCCAATTGTCACGTCTGCTGCGTGGCCTGTGTCCGAGAATGTGCGGAGGGTGTCGGGGATTGACAACACAGAGACTCGTTCAACGATATAAAGAGAACTTTAAACAGGCTCCAAAAAGGTTCAAGAAAAACTTCCTAAGAAAAGCTCCCACCAGAGAAGCTTCTGCTCTCTCCTCTCCCCTGGCTGGTTCTGCTCTGACACCAGAGGTGGATGTGTGTGGGTTTTTGAAGGTGCGGTTAGTCTTTGGACAAGGTCGAGGTCAGGGCGGTTTCTGTGGGAAGGCCTTTCCCAGGAACTTATTGTATCATTTTTAGTAAACATGTTTTTACTAAACATTGTCTTACAGCTGCCTACTCCCAGGCAGAAGGGGAAGTGGGTCTCTGCTCAAGGTCTGGTGTTCCCACAGTGGCGCACGCCTTTAATCCCAGCACTTGAGAGGCAGAGGCAGGCGGATCTCTGTGAGTTCGAGGCCAGCCTGGTCTACAGAGTGAGTTCCAGGACAGCCTCCAAAGCCACAGAGAAACTCTGTCTCGAAAAAAAAAAAAAAAAAGAGCAATTCTAAGATGCAGTATAGAGATCTGTTACAGTAACTCTTCCCATCAGCCTGGTCCCAGAGCTGCATCAGTCCCAAATGAACACATAGGACGCTATATTAATTATGAAGCTGTTTGCTATGGTTTCTTTGTTTTTTTTTTTTTGTTTTTTGTTTTTTTTTTTTGAGACAGGATTTCTCTGTGGTTTTGGAGCCTGTCCTGGAACCAGCTCTTGTAGACCAGGCTGGCTTTGAACTCACAGAGATCCGCCTGCCTCTGCCTCCGGAGTGCTGGGATTAAAGGTGTGTGCCACCAACGCCCGGCTTTTTTTTTTTTTTAAGTATTGATTGATTATGCATACAGTATTCTGCCTGCACATACACCTGCAGACCAGAAGAGGGCACCAGATGTCATTATGGGTGGTTTTGAGCCACCATGTATGTGGTTGCTGGGAATTGAACTCAGGACCTCTGGAAGAGCAGCCAGTGCTCTTAACCTCTGAGCCATTTCTCCAGCCCTTGCTATGGTTTCTCATTGGCCAGCTCTGACTTAATTATTTTTTTTGAAGGTCTTCATCTTTTTATTCTTTATGTACAAAGGCTATCATGATCTGTTTCACTGGGTAGAGTCTTGAATAATCCATTCAAGGTTGCTTAGTCCAACTTAATGAAACCTATGTCCTTCGAGTTCTGATGGAAGCACTGACGGCACATGTTCAGCCCATATTTCCGGATCAGGCCATAGCGGTTAGAGCAGACTCGGCAAGAGCGCGAGCCCTGGCGGAACTTCCGCGGGTGACTCCAGCAGAGCTGCTGGTGACCCATCTGTCGGCCCAAGAGGAGAAAGCTCTGACTTAATTGTTAACATAACTGCTAATCTGAGTCTTTCCACGTGGCCTTCTCTTACTGGAGAAAGGGTCCAGACATCTTACTCCTCTCGCATCCTACAGGGTGACTGACTGTGCCTCTGTTTCCCAGAATCCTCCACCTCTCCGGGTCCCACCTCTCTTGCTTCCCTATTGGCCAGCAGTGCTTTATTCATCAACCAATAGGACAACATATACCCAGAAGGCCGTCCCCAGCAGAGGTCCTTGCTTGTTCAGACGTCTGGGTAGGAGCTCTGCTGTGAGGGTCTAACGTTTGCTTTCTCTCCCTGTCCCCGTCAGGTCCAGGCGTGTCGGGATGCTGGCTGTGCTCCTGAAGGTGGTTCGCACAGAAAGTCTTCTGGGCCTTTGGAAAGGGATGTCCCCTGTAAGCTGCCTTTAGGTCTGGGTCCTCGTGTCCGTGTCCCCCCCCCCCCCTGTGATGATTCCCCTTCACCTCACCAGGTGTTGCTTAGACTGTGCGGCTCCTCCCGTTAGTGTGTGTCAGTCACTCCTCATGGCTGTGACCAAATCCCTGACAGGAATAGCTCAAGAGAGGAGACGCTTGTCTGGGCTCGTGTGGGGACAGAGTCCATCTTGGTGGGAAAGGCATGGTAGCGGAATAGCTCTCCTTGTGGGAGGGGCATGATATAACTGGTCCCACCTCAGAGCGCCTTGGCTAGGAGTAGGTGGGGCTAGGGCGTGCCTAGAAGCCAGCTCCTGTGACCCACATCCATCGGTCGGGCCTCCTGCCTGAGCTCTCACAGCCTCTCAGGACAGTCATACAGTTTCTGTCACTGCGCCTGTTTGTAAATGATGCTCAGGCACCTGTGTCTGCACAGTGGAGAACAAGAGGAGAGTGTGCACAGTGCTCAGTGCACAGTGCTCAGTGTTACCTACCCACTCCTGCTCCCGACAGACGGGGGACTACTCTCGTCCCCGTCCCCTGTGCGTCCCTAATGTCTGTGTGACCGTTAGCGTGGCGCCGGCTCCACAGCTGCCATCCACTGCCTCACCTTTGCCACCAGCGGGAAGGCGGGCTGGGGCAGCTGCACCTTTATTTCTTTGCCCAAAGCCTTTTCTGGCCCCGGACCCACCTTGCTCGTGGAAATACCAAGCGTTGGTTCCCAACTTCCACCCACAGCAGCCTTCAGCCGCTAAGAGATGGGAAGTGGTGTTTAGCTGCTACACTCCTTGCCCTGTCAGCAGAAAGAGCACAGGGGATGGGGTGTTCACCGATTGGCTGAGCTTGCCGAGGGGACTGACTTACCCACAGCGTGGATACACTCCTTATTGGCTGCTGCCTGTCCCGTCTCTGCCCCTCCTCCCTCCGGTGCCCCCTTCACACCTTAAACAGGCAGCTCCCGTGGGGTCCCCCTGGGATGGCACAGGGACACGCCCAGCAGGCAGCTCGCGTGGGGTCCCCCTGGGATGGCACAGGAACACGCCCAGCAGGCAGCTCCCGTGGGGTCCCCCTGGGATGGCACAGGGACACGCCTAGCCGGCAGCTCGCGTGGGGTCCCCCTGGGATGGCACAGGGACACGCCCAGCAGGCATCTTGCAGCTCTCAGTCTTAGGTTTCACCCTCTCCTTTCCCGCAGTCCATTGTGAGGTGTGTCCCTGGTGTGGGAATCTACTTCGGTACTCTGTATTCTTTGAAGCAGTATTTCTTGCGAGGCCATCCCCCGACTGCCCTGGAGTCGGTCATCCTGGGCATGGGCTCACGCTCTGTCGCCGGAGTCTGCATGTCACCCATCACAGTGGTCAAGACGCGCTATGAGGTAAGTGACAGTTTTAGAACCTTGGGATTCTGGGTGGTGAGCGTTTATGCCGGCCCCAGGTGAGTAGTCTGACAGGGTCAAATGTGCTCTGATAACTCAGTTTTGTAGGCAGGGCAAGTCACATGTGAACTAAAGCCTGGTTCCCCGGTGGCGGTATGCAACCTGAGGTCTGCTTGGGCCACTGCTCGGAGGCTGGCCTGTGCCAGTCACCGGATTGCTCTCCCTTTGTAGAGTGGGACTTACAGCTATGAGAGCGTCTATGCAGCCCTGAGGAGCATCTACTGCAGCGAGGGCCACCGGGGCCTCTTCAGAGGCCTGACAGCAACTCTCCTGCGTGACGCGCCCTTCTCAGGGCTCTACCTGATGTTTTACAGTCAGACCAAAGCCACAGTGCTCCGAGGCCCAGGTAAGGAAGGGCGGGTGGGCGGGGTCCCTGAGAGGCTGGCCCCAGTCTTAGGAATGGCTGTCCTACTCAGGGTCTCTATGGCTGTGAAGAGGCCATGGCCATGGCAACTCTTACAAAGGAAAACATTTAACTGATGGCTTACAGTTCAGAAGGTTCAGTCCATTCCTGTCACGGTGCAACATGACCTCATGCAGGCAGACGCGGTGCTGGAAAAGGAGCTGGGAGTTAATACCTTTTTTTTTAACATTGGAATTTTTTTTTTTTTTGAGACAGGGTTCCTCTGTATATCAGTTCCGGCTGTCCTGGAACTTGCTTTGTAGACCAGGCTGGCCTAAAACTGCCTCCCTTTGCCTCCAGAGTGCTGGGATTAAAGGTGTGTGCTACCAACATCTGGCAAATATTGAATCGTTAAAGCCAATAGTGTCCTTGATGAATAAAAATTCAAGTTTTTCTACCTAGAGTTAGTAACAAGGTGGGAATGTCCACACCTGCACTGCCCAGTCTGAGGGTGTTCTCACCTGCACTGTCCAGTCAGAGGCCGTCCATCCCTGCACTGTCCACTCAGGTGCTGTCAGAGAGTCATAATTAACTGTCGGATATAAACAACATATTAACTGTTTAAAATCATTATACTGAATGATGAGCTTTCCCATGCCGCCGTCATCCATTCCCACCGTGGGAGCCTGGCCAGGCCTGTCTGAGCACACTGCCTCTCCACCATGTAGGTGAGGAACGTGGCTTTGTAACCTTTGCTGCCCTTGTTCTGTTTCAGACCAGATGGACGCTGCTCTGATGCCCCTGGTTAATTTCAGCTGTGGGATATTGGCTGGCATTCTGGCTTCGCTGGTGACGCAGCCTGCAGACGTGATCAAGACTCACATGCAGCTCTCCCCAGCGAAGTCTCAGTGGATTGGCCAGGCGGCCACCCTCATCTTCAGGGTAAGGCTGCAGAGTGCAGGCGGCTCCTGTGCTGGAGGCCGGCTCTAGAGCACACACCCTCCCCGTGTGCCAGCGACTCCGGGAGCATTAGATCCCCTGGGGAAGGCTGCAGAGATGGCGCAGCGGTCAGACCTCGTGTCTACCAGCTTCCCATTGTAACCCCAGTTCCGGCAGCCGGATCCAGATCCCAGGCTTGGTGAGCAGCCCTGGTCTGGATTGTGTGTACTGCCTGGCACTTCTTGGCAGTGTGGACGTGGTAGAGCTGGCTGAGTGTCGTCATTCACACCTGACACGGTAGCTCTGAGATCTGTGGGCGGGGTCATGAGTTTGAAGCCAGTGTTGTCTGGGTTATGGTAGTACTGAGGGTCCCATCTCAAAGCAAGCAGACAAACAGAGCAACGGAAACAGAACTACAAACACACAAGCCAACCCGCACACAGCAGCCCTGCATAAGGGAGTTCCCAGTGTAGAGAGCCTTTCGGCTGCCTCTAGCACCCCAGATGAATCTTGTAATGGTCTTTTAAAAATCCCTTTAATTTTACTTACGGGCGCGCGCGCGCGCGTGCGTGCGTGTGTGTGTGTGTGAGTGTGTGAGTGTGTGTGCCTATGGAGGCCAGAAGAGGGCACCACATCCCCTGGCGCTAGAGTTTAAGCCGATTGTGGCTGCCATGTAGTCTGCAAAGCCAACTCTGGAAGAACAGTCAGTGTTCTCAGCTCCTGGGTGTCCTTGTTTGGAAACAGGGTGTCTCTGTGTAGCCCTGGCTGTCCTGGAGCTTGTTATGTAGACCAGGCTGGCCTCGAACTCAAGAGATCCACCTGTCTCTGCCTCCTGAGTGCCGAGACTAAAGGCGTGTGACACCACTCCAGACTAAGAAGTCTCCCTAGGTAGTGCAGATCTAAAGAGGTGACCCTAACAGTTACAGAAAACTGGAGGGTCATGGGTTATCCCTTGGGCCCATAATTCCCAGTGTGGCGTTTTTGGCAGTTGAAAACTAAGACTGTGCCGTGGAGTGACAGCTGTCTGGTGATGGGGACAGCCGAGGAGTGACAGCTGTGTGGTGGGGACACACCCAGCTGCACGGCTTTGCTTCTGAAGTGTTGTCGTTTGTTTTCCTCAGAACCACGGCCTGCGTGGCTTCTTTCACGGCAGTGTTCCCCGGGCGCTCCGCAGAACTCTGATGGCTGCCATGGCGTGGACTGTCTATGAAGAAATGATGGCCAGGATGGGCCTGAAGTCCTGACAGAGAGCGCTGGGGACGGAAGATCCTGCCGTGGGCCCCTGCAGCTCACCCTTGTGGAGTCAGGTGAAGCGCTGTCTGAGGAACCCGGGGCAAGCGCGTTGCCTTTAGTCCCCCATCCAGAGAGACCGGGGGAAGACTGGAGTCCCCAAAGCCTCAGCAGTGGAGTCACCGATGCCCACAGCTCCAGAAACACTCCCCGTCGGTGCACACAGGAGCCAGGAGTCGAGCTTGGCTACAAGAGAGGCATTTCTAGAGAGAGAACTGTGCCAGATTACTGTCTCAGCCACCTCCCTACATCACAGGGCACCTTAGATATGCCTGTAAGTGCGGAATCCCACAACGGAGAAGCTGGGCTCCTGCCATGGCTGAGGAGGCTCAAGTTGGGGAAGACTGGATGGAGCTAACGAGAGCTGGACCATGAGATGGCTCAGCAAGTAAAGGCGTTTGGCAGACGGCCGCAGCGGGTCTCCAGGACCCATGGAGGAGGGAGAAGTAGCTCCTCACGTTCACTTCGACAAGCACCCATACCCAACATGTAAATAAATGTAATTTCTTTTTTAAATAAAGACATCAGCAGGCTGGAGACTGTCTGAGGTGACAAAAACAAAAACCAAGGAGCAACAGCAAAACACCCAAATTTTGTTCCTAGGGAATCTCCTGTAGGCCCTAGAGAATGGGCACAATGACTTCCTTGGCTTGTGTACTGTTTTGTTTTTTTGTTTTGTCTTTGTTTCTCTGTGTAGCCCTGGCTGTCCTGGAACTCACTCTGTACACCAGGCTGGCCTTGAACTCACAGAGATCTGCCCGCCGCTGCCTCCCAAGTGCTGGGATTAAAGGCGTGCACCACCAACACCAATGTACTGCTTTAATCTGTGCTAATCTCACATTTCCCATAATTAAAGTTCAGAGGAATAAAGCACTTTGAGAGCTGTTTGAAAAACAGAAAAACAACAAAAGCTTAGCAGATAGAGGAAGAGCACATTGTTAATCCCAGCACTTGAAGGGGGATGGAGAGATGGCTCAGAGATTAAGAGCACTGGCTGCTCTTCCAGAGGTCCTGAGTTCAATTCCCAGTAACCAAATGGTGGCTCACAGCCATCTGTAATGAGATCTGGCGCCCTCTTCTGGCCTGCAAGCACACATGCAGACAGAATGCTGTATGCATAATAAATCTCTAAAAAAAGAAAATCCCACCACTTGAGAAGGAGAGGCAGGTAGATCTCTGGGAGTTCCAAGTCAGGCAAGGCTACATGATCAGATCTATCTTTAAAAAAAATGCTGGTTGGGAAACCTAAATAGTATGTTTCACTCCCTGAGGATAGCAGAGCAATTTGGAGGTGACTTCAGTTTTGACCTACCATACAAATTCCTAAAACAATATATTTTTTTTGTTTTTTGTTTTTCGAGACAGGGTTTCTCTGTATTGTTTTGGAGCCTGTCCTGGAACTCACTCTAGTAGACCAGGCTGGCCTGGAACTCACAGAGATCCTCCTGCCTCTGCCTCCCGAGTGCTTGGATTAAAGGTGTGCGCCACCACCCAGCTGTATTCTTTTACTTACGAAAATATTTTGAGGTCTTGATGTAGAAGTTCAATACTTTCTTCTTTTTAGCTTTACTGCTTTTGTGGGATGATATTACTACACCCTTACCCGTGTCCCTCTTTCTCTGGCATTCAGAGCAATAGAATTAACAGGAGTTTTTCTTCTGAAGTTCTGGGAACTGAGCAAACCCAGAGCCTTGTGAGGTAAGGCAAGCACTCTACCCCTGAGCAGGATGAGCAGCGTAAATGCTCTGTAGATAGATGACCCGTGTCATCCAAACCTCCACATATCCTTCAACACTTTGGGAATGTCCTCTTGGACACCCGTCATGTTTTTTTTTTTTTTATTTGTTTGTTTTTGGTGCTGTTATCAAGCTCAGGAAGGAGCCATTACTCTCTGCAAGGAGCAGAGGGGCAGGTGGGTTTGTGCTCCCGTGTTTACTAACCTGACACATGCCCAGGGCTAAAACCTGTTCTTCACTTGGTCAAAGAAATGGGGGCAGTAACGCCGCCCACGCCTAGGGTGGTTATAAGGGGTAAGTAAATATTTTTTTTCTGACAATCTAGTCATTTTTACAGCCATCTTTCACACATAGGATGTCAACTTTATTTTCGTGGTTGTCCTCAGGTTCTCATTCTTTTGTGCGACAGGTCATATTTTATCCTTAAATGTCTTAGAGCTTTCTATTGAACAGAATAAACTTATTAGCTGTATTTTCTCTTTGACCAAAAGAATAACTTTATATATAGTCATGTCGTTTATACTTTTAAGAAAACATTCCAGAGTCGGGCGTTGGTGGTGCACGCCTTTAATCCCAGGAGGCAGAGGCAGGAGGATCTCTGAGTTCGAGGTCAGCCTGGTCTACAGGGCAGTCAGATACACAGAGAAACCCTGCCTGGAAAAACCAAAAGAGGGCAGAGAAAAGACGCCGGAAATGAAGTCTGAACTGCGCGTCGGTATTCGTCCTCCAGACACCACATGCCAGCGCTCCAGGGCGAGCTTGCCGAAGTCGCCTGCCTCGCACAGACCGCCAGACAGGCCAGCGCGCCTCGCACCCCAGCAGCGGAGTCACCCCCCTCCGGGTCCGCAGCTCCTTCCGGCCCGCGCTCCACGCAGCCACCGCGCCAGGGCCAGCGCGGGACGTCCCGACTTCCGCTCCGGGCGTTGTAGCCGGCCCGCCTGCCCAGTCTGCGCGTGCGCCGCGAGCAGGCCCGCTCTGCTTTGCCATTGGCTGGCTGCGGGGTATTTAAGGACGTCATTTCCGGCCGCCGGTCCTTTCCGCGCTGCCCTGGGACGGGTCCATACGGCGTTGTTCTTGGTGAGTGTCCCGTGGGGTCCCCGGTGCCGCCCGACGCCACGGGCCCGTTCCTCCCGCTCCGTGAGCGGGTGCGGGCGCTCCGAGGGCGGCGGCTACGCGGGCGGCTTCGGTATCGGCGTGGTCGTCGCCGCGTGTCGTCCTCCAGCGAGGTGGGGCGGGCGCTCGCCCGCCCGCCCGAGGCCCCTGTAGGCTCGCGCCGGGCTGGGGGCCCTGTCGGCAGGGTGCTGGGGAAGGAAGGGGCTGCGGGGCGGGTCCGGAGCTGCCGCTCGCAGTCTGGAACCACGTGAAACGTGGAGCGCCCCAGACGCGGCCGCGCATGCGCTACGCGTTGTCGTGCGTCCACGCCGGGGTACCCGTGTGCCTGCGGGAGCGTTGACTTGGGTTGCCCGGCGTTCCTGCTGGTTCCGGGGCGCTTGTGTGATGGGGACCGGAGAAGTTGAGAGGGGCAGAGGAATTCGTGCACGCCCCACTAGAGCTTCACATGATAGACTGGAGAGTGCGGAGCGTGGCGGCCGCACACGCCTTTAATCCCCGCTCTCTGGAGGCACGGTGGATATTTGTGAGTGACGCCCGGGGCTTAGGACAGCCCCGGCGGCATTGAAACCTAGACTCAGAAAAGGGAGATTAGAGATGAGATGAATCTTTGCATTTTCAGATTCCCGTCGTAACTTAAAAGGGAAACTTACACAATGTCCGGAGCCCTTGACGTCCTGCAGATGAAGGAGGAAGATGTCCTCAAGTTCCTTGCTGCAGGAACCCACTTAGGTGGCACCAACCTTGACTTTCAGATGGAGCAGTACATCTACAAAAGGAAAAGTGATGGTCAGTGACCCCTCTTGATAAGCAGGGTGAAGCTCTCTAAAGACTAGGCTCTGGTGGGTGGTGCGCCGCCATGAATGTTCCGATGCTGGAGAGTTGTAGGGGTAGGGTAGGGTGATGGGATCTCTTCCTACAGTGCACCCTGTATCACAGGCGCAGTCGCAGCGGGAGTCGTAGGTTTGGTGATTGGCGGGGTGGGTGTGAGAAGACTGGGGGGGGGGCTGTGCGTTCACCGTGTGCCGGGGAAGGAATGAAGCGTTGTGGGGCATTGGTGGGGTGGATTTGGTCTTCTTGCAGCGGTCCAAAGGGCCGAGAACCGACAGAACTGAAGCTGCACATTATTAAAGCTCAGGGTGGAGGCCACCCTTGGCCAGTGAACTCCTGAGTGTCGGAAGTGTGCTACATTGAATACACGGCAGGATTTTCGCTAACACCAGTAGAGCTTGCCTCGATGACTGGAGTTGATAGTGGTCTCTGCCACATACCTCAGTCTGCCTTCCTGTAGTGTCCTGTTCTCCCAGGTCGTTAGCAAATCCATCTGGGGCACCCCATTTAGAAATTATTTGCTGCCCGGTGCACTTGTGAGGCAGTCAGATCTAGTTGAGGCCAGCTTGATAAAGTGCCTGGGTAACAAACTCTTAAACCCTGCCCTAATTCACTTGTTGTCACATAGGTATCTACATCATAAATCTGAAGAGGACATGGGAGAAGCTGTTGCTGGCAGCCCGGGCCATCGTTGCTATTGAGAACCCGGCTGATGTCAGCGTCATCTCCTCCAGGAACACTGGGCAGGTTTGTAGAATGGGGGTAGATACTTGTGGCAGTGATTCACAAAAAACATTGGCGGTATACAGAGCCAGAGGCACCCAACGTGGATACCCCAGGAGGTCACTCTCCCTGGGCTCTGTCCTGGTGGCGTAGGGGAGCAGAGGCGTTGCCTATGAAGTACAGTCCCTTTCCACAACGTTGGAGACGAAGCTGGGCTTTGTGCCTGCGCCTGCATATTCCTACAACTTCTCAGAGTCCTGTGGACAGTGACTGAGGAGGCAAACCATGCAGGAAACAGTCCTGAATTCCTCACTGGCACATAGTGCTGTGTGTTTTAAGAAAAAGAAAGGTGATGTCAGCCACAAAATAACTATTTCCTTTAGCCTGGTCCTTTGGGGTCTTAAAAGCTACTTGTTAACTTGAGTGACTCATGTTTTAAAAATGAGAAAGTGTATCTTTTGCTGTTAAGAAAATTGCTATTTCTGTTACATATAGGCTGGCTGAGTTAGGTTGGAGATTTCAATTCATCCTGAGTTAAATTCCAGCTAAACCTTTAATGTTGCAGTAAGGGTCTTGTGTCTGTGCAGATGGTTCCTTAAGAATGGACCTGGCTAGACCTGTGTTGTGGGACAGAATAGAATATGGCTTAATTACTGTTAAACCTCCACAGGAAGTGTTGCTGGTGCTTAGGACCATCGCCGGGAGGGAGTTGGAGTCAAGAAACCTGGGGTGAGAGGAGCAGGCAGATAGATCTCTTAGGAAAGTCAAGGCTACACAGTTAACCCTGTCTACCCCCAAATGGGGACAGATACTCATTGACAAAGAACTGCTCTAACAGGCCCTGAAGCCAGCACTCACGGTCATCAATAATTCCCAGTTCAAGGGCTGGAGGGACAGCTCAGCCGTTAAAGGCTAGGCTTACAGCCAAAAACAATTCCAGTTCAGAGGGTCCAGTGGCCACGACCTCCATGTGTATGAGTGATATACTTGTACAAGTGGCACAGAAACGAGAGGAAAAGGAAGGGAGATGGGTTTGCTGTTCTGATAAATTTGTGCAGAAGCCAGGGGTGCTGTGTGTGTGTACTGAGGAATTTGGGGTGTGCGAGATGGGTGGGGCATGCAGATTTCAGTTTAGCT